GGGGCGGCCGGAAGCAGGGGGCGGGGCTTTTTCATGTGCCCCGCCCCCTGTTCCCCCCCCCCCGAAATGACCTCTGCATTTCGTTCAAACTTTTGTTGCTCTTAAAGGTGCCACTGGACTCAAACCAGGATTTACTATTTGCTGAAAAGAGTTTGTTGCAGATAGTGTGCTTTAAGCAAACCATGATTTACCACTATGTCTGAATGCAGCTTTACATTCAGGCCAAGAACCTAACTATATGATGCAGTTTCCCTGGTTCTGTTTGCTGGTCAAATAAACCGCCGTACTCTGGGAGTTTCTTGAATTGCATGGGTGCAATTCAGATGGGAACCATGGCTAGTAAAGAGAGGGCTTACGTCCTCCAGCTGGCTGCACTATTTTACTGGCATGAATTTGAACCCAATCCCTGCATACCTGAGTATAGATTAACTCCAAAACACATCTGACCTGCAGATAGATCCAAGAATTAAAAGTCCAATTTGCCACAATGGCCTGTGATGTCACTGGCTCCTCCCTATGATGTCATTGGGTCCCAGTTCTTTAAATGACTTAGCAATGCCTCTGGCCCAGCCCCAGCCCCCCCCCCCCCGAAACTGGAAAGTCTATGCCCTTGGATACAAGTATATTTAAATAAAATGGATCCAAGGCACATCGCTTAGCTCTCTGGTAGTGAAAGTGCTAATCAGTATTTGGAAAGAATGCCAGCATTCCGACAGCTTATGTTCATAGGAAAGAAGGGAAGAAGCAATGAGCATGGTTGACTCTGCACAATGGATTAGAAACCTGGGCTGAGGTAGCTGGTCCAGTGCCATGCAGGGCAGGGGTTCACTATGTTCTCCATAACCTACATGAAAACTTGATCATAGTCCTCCTGAAGTATTATTTCCTGAGAAACTGAAAACCAGTGTGGTGGTTAGTGTCAGACTAGGATCTGGGGCTCCTATCTTATCATACCTAACTACCAAAGATTCAATACCCAACGTAATAGGTACTCTCCGCCTTTTGTAGCGTTTATAGCACAATACACAGTTTGATATATAGTATGAACTGTACGAAAAGAATCCTCACCACAGTATAGATTAGACTGATTAAAGCACTTTTTGTATGTATAACGAAAAATATGCTAATTATATGTATATGCCTGTCTTGCATAACCCAGTTGTTAATGAGTTAATGAGAAAATTGAATAAAACTGATTTGAAAAAGATCTGGGAGATGCAGATTCAAATACCCACTCTGCCATGCAAGTCTGCCAAGTGACCTTGGGCCAGTGCATGTTGTCAGTTTTCATTACCTCGCAGGGTTGTTGTGAGAATAAAGTGGAGGTGAGGAGAATGATGCAAGTTACGTTGGCTCCCCACTGAGGGTATAAATGAAGGAAATAAATAAAATATGCTCCACACCATGATTAAAACCAATTCCGATATTAGGAGCTTCAAGCGAATTGTTAATCTGAATCTGCAGGAGCATCAAAAACTAATATTGCCTTGCCAGGAGAAGAGAGGTATTGACCAAATATACAAAAGCAACCTTGAATACTATAAACAAAATCTGTTTCTTTATATATACAGTGATATCACTATAAATATTTTTACAAAAATCAGATTTTGTTTATATTCTTCAAAGTTGCTTCTGTATGTTTCGCCGATTCTATTATTGGCAACCTTCTCCTTGCTTGTTTGGGTCTTAGGAGAAGGGAGGTGGCTTTAACTCTGGCTTGCTTGACAAGCCCTCCCCAGGGACGGGGAAAATGTGTCGTTTTCCATAAATGCAAAATGAGAAGCATCTCCCATTGCAGCCACAACGGGGAGACTATAGTTGAGGGGACCGGCTGCATTTGGAAATCAAATACATACCTGCTTGGTCGCCCTATAACACACCGCATAGCCTCTTCCGTCCATCTGCTGAATAAATTCCCCTTTGCCAATACGCCGCTGCAACTCCACGGAGAACTGATTGCCACCAATCAACGAAAGATGAAACGGATGACGTATCTCCGCTGCAACGAAGCTCTACAGCAGCGATTCAGAGCATACGCTTTTGGCTACTGCCCTCTAGTGTTTTGCGAAGAAAATCTTGCAGGTTTTTAATAGCCTCACGAGTGTGGAGATTCTTCTCCCCGCGCAACCTCCTTCTTGAAATCTAACATTTTGGCTCACTCTGGCTGAAAACAAACAGAAGTCTTTATTTTCAGCTACTGCCCTACCGATTCCACAGCACAATTCACACATGTTTCATAACTACCCAAATCTGGAAGGGTTCAAAGGTGTGTCAACATACAGAAAAAAAAGCAAGAACAGAGTTGAAGTTTGGTTCCGTTTATTTCTGGGGCGTCATTGCAGTTGCACAGTCGTTATTTTTATTCATCAGCTATTTGAAATATTCCAGAAGATTAGTTGTGTTAGTCAGCTCCAGACAACATACCAAAATTTTTAATGTTTTTATGAACGACTATTTATTGTTTTATCTTATGTAGAAGTTATGTTTATCTTACCTTGTGAGCCACTCAGAGCCCATCTGTGGAGTAGGGCAGGGTATAAACGGAATAAAATAAATAAAATAAATTTTTAAAATATTGTGGCACTTTGAAGACTAACAAACATATTGTGGCATAAGTTTCTATGAGCCAGAAGAAGAATGGTAGGTTTTTATACCTCGCTTTTCTGTACCCTGAGGAATCTCAAAGTGGCTTACAATCTCATTCCCTCCACTTCCCCACAACAGGCACCCTGAGAGGTAGGTGGGGCTGAGAGAGTTCTGAGAGAACTGTGACTGGCCCAAAGTCACCCAGCAGCTTCATGTGGAGAAGGATCAAACCTGGTTCTCCAGATTTGAGTCTGCTGCCGCTTTTAACCACTACGCCACACCAGAGCACATTCTTACTCACAGAATGCCTAAAAATAAAGGTTTCCCTTGCTCGAAAGCCAGTTGAATCCGAATCTAGGGTACGGGGCTCATCTCCGTTTCTAAGCCGAAGAGCCAGAGCTGTCTGAAGACTTCTCTGTGGTCATGTTGCTGGCATGACTAAACACAGAGGCACATGGAACACTGTTACCTTCCCACCAAAACAGTACCTATTTATCTACTTGCAATTTCTTGCTTTCGAACTGCTAGGTTGGCAGGAGCTGGGACTAGAGACGGGAGCTCACTCTGTCATGCGGCACTGGGGTCTCCAACTGATAAACTACTGACCTTCCAGCCTGCAGTTCAGCATCTTAACCACTGAACCACCACAGCACCTTACACAGAATGCCTATATCACCATAAATATGTTAATCTTCGAGATGCCTCAAGACTTTATGACGATTGATCATTTGCCATTTTCTGTGTTTTCCTGAGAGACTTACTGAACTGATCTTCTGCCAGGACAGAAAGGAGAGGTTCAGGTTAGAATGCTAAATTCTAACTGTTAGATCGCGCTAACAAAGGACTCGTAGAGTGATTCAGCAAGTGATTCAGCTTTAATCAGAAGTAACGAACAAGCACTCAAACGCATTAGAAACCAGAACAACATAACATTGGAGCTGGGCTCCTTTTAAACATACCGGGCTAATATAGCCACTCCCACTATGTACAATAACAACCAATCAGATTGCAGGGATAAGGGCAAATCAGAGTTCTTCCCGCTCAGGGAACAGTCCCTTTGTGATTGGACGCTGTTTCAAAGCGACCAATAGCTTTATGGCTGGATGGAGCCTTGGCTGGCTCGAAGCTTAACATGGGAAGTGGATTAGGTGATTCAAGTTATACAGTCAGTACATAACAATTCCTCCCCCCTAAGTTAAGACAACCATATCATTCCATTTACAGACATAGTTAACATGTCGTTCCATAAATCATCACAATAAACCTTACTACAATCGTAGTCGTTAAGATATGCGGGTGCTTTGTGTGTACGCTCAGATCTACGCAAGGGAACAGGGCCTGGCAGCCCGCTTTGCGGGGAATCTGACGGCGGTTTGGCAAACCCTAATTCCGGCGCTTTTACGGCCAAGGTTGCTGTGTCCCCATCAGGGGCATATTCTGCTGTTGGAACAGCTATCGGTAACCCTGTAACGTTCTCCGAATCAGGAGGTTGGGAAACTATTGCATCATGCCCAGCCGGCGAGTCAGCGCTGTCTTTAAACCAACGTTTTTTTAACTGGTCCACATGGCGCTGCCACCTCCTGCCATCGGTCAATTGGACCAAGTACATCCGAGTACCTATACACTCACAGACCACTCCGGGAACCCATGAATGCCCCGCGGTATAGTTTCGGGCAAACACCGGATCGCCCGCCTGAAATATGCGCATAGTCGTACGTGGGTCTGTACGCTCCTCCTGTTGCTCAGTGAGGTCGGGGTGCAATCTATTAAGTTTGGTAGCTAGCCTCCGGCCCATAAGTACCTCGGCCGGGCTACGGCCTGTTGTACTACAGGGGGTGGTGTGTTGGCGCAGGAGGAATGACCCCAGCCGAACGCTCCAATCCCCCTCTGTTAGTTTTCCCAATGCCTCTTTTGCCGTTCGTACCATCCGCTCCGCCTGGCCATTTGAAGCAGGGTGAAAAGGGGCGGCGGTGATCTGGCGGATACCATTGTCCAGGAGGAATTTCTTA